AGGATAGACAAAGGAAGTAGGAGAAGACAAGGAACAAGACAGGAGCCTTTCACAGAGGGCCTCTGAATGACTCTACCTATCGGTATGGAAGGAGATACTGAGACTCATAGCCAAATTTTGGGCAGAATGCTGGAATCCTTTTGGAAGAAGAGAGAGTTAGACCTGGAGGGACAGGAACTCCACAGGAACAACAACCAAAAAACCTGGACCAGGGGACCTGCAGAAATTGATAACTCCAACTAAGGACCATGCATGGAGAGGACCTAGACACCCTGTTCAAAGGAAGCCCATTGCAGCTCAGTGTCCAAGTGGGTCCCCTAGTAAGGGGAACAGGGGCTGTCTCTGACATGAATTCAGTGGCTGGCTCTCTGATCACCTCCTCCTGGATGGTGCAGCCTTGCCAGGCCACAGAGGAAGATAATGCAGCCAGTCCTGATGAGTCCTGATAGGCTAGGATCAGATAGAAGGGGAGGAGGTCCTCACCTATCGGGAGAAAAGGGAATGGAGGGAGAAGAGGGAGGGTGGGGTGGAAGAGGGAGGGGACTCCAGTGGGATACAAAGTGAATAAATTGCAATAAATAAATATATAAATAAATAATTTTTTTTTAAGTTTTTTCATGGGGCTGAGGAGATGGATCCGTGGTTAAGAGTAGTGCTGTTCTTCAAGAGGACCCTTGCCCAACACCCATATTAGGCAGCTCCCAACAGCTTACAACTCCAATTTTAGGAAATGCAATATCCTCTTTTGGCTTCTTGGGCACCTGTACATATGTGGCACATCCACACACGTACTAACATGTACATGCATGTGCATACACATAAAAAAGTTTGCTCCTTTTTTGCATCACTCTGTCTCAAGATACAATATCTGCTTCTTTGGTGTCCTAAACACTAAAAGCTTTGGTTTAAAAGAAAAAAAAAATTAAATTAACATGTTACATTAAGATTTGATAAACTTACAAGAATAAAGTTAAATGTAATTATGTTTATTAAATGCACAACACGGTTACAATTACAAAACTGTTAGAGAAGTAAGATATTATTTTATAAGTAGGACAAGCCAGGAGTGCACCTAATGTAACAGCACAGGCCAGGTGAGGTCTGAGAGCTGTTCTTCAGAGATCGGGCTCCAGCGCTGAGGATGTAGATTCTGATGAGTAACTAGAAAACAAATAATAGCACATTCCTTCCAAGACATATTTGTGCTTTCTTTAAGGGCTCCAGAAGATCAAGCATGATCCAGTGTGTGGCCTACTTCCAAAAGTACATGGACAGCATGAATTGGAGTCAATGGGTTATTAAACCTAAAGCAATCAACACAAGAGGTCATGAACTTTGGGAAGGTAGGAAAATGAGGAGAAGTCTGACAGAGGTTACTGGTACTAATATGATCAAATACCTTGTACAAAATTCTCGAGTATATAATAAAATATTAAAAATAAACAAATATGTTTGGTCTTGCTTATTTATTAGTTCAATTAATCCGCACAAGTCAGAAGGCTTTACTTGATGTTTCTTCCTTTTTTTATGCTCTAAACATTGTGAAAAGAAACATCACGCTTATAATAGATGAGTAATATATTTAGCTGAATAAATAAGTCAAAAATGTGTCTACTCAGCAAACAATATCTACAATGAATACCTCATATAACTCAATACTTTTGGCCACAGGCTCTGAGTCAAACTGTGTTGTGGATGTGAATGTCATATGTATATATTTATAATTTCTAAATTATTAGGCCCTAATATTTATGTATGTATCATAGGAATGTAATCACTCATTTTTTTTTAATCATGGTTGTTTGTTGTGTGGCTGTGCTTACCATGGCTCACATATGAAGGTCAGAGGACAGCTTGCTGCAGTCTATTCTCAACTCTCACCATATGGGTACTGGGGAATCAAACTCAGATTATCAGGCTTAGTGGTAAGTGAGCCATCTTGTTGGCCCTAGCTGTACTATTTATTCGATTCTAAGAATCTATTGTTTCCAGAATAAACCATCATTGAAAAAAAGAAGATGGAAGTAGTCACAATTTGTAAATCTCATCAGCTGTGACACTGTCAACTGCTGAGGTGCTAACATGTAGGTAGGATGTTTCTCAGTATCAAAAAGAAAGAAAATGTGCCTACAGAGCATCATTATTTGGTGTCGCTGCTTATATTAACAGAAGGTTGGGCTGGAAAGTGATGCATGCAAAACAGATGGAAAGTCTGGGGCATTTATTGTAATTTTTGAGTAGTTTAGAGTTTGTTGGTGTTTAAAAGAATCTTTCAAGACTATTTTGGATTCCCATGATTATTTTTATCCAAAGTTCTGACTTTAAGTATGAACTGCCCCCTTTTCCTTAAGGTCAAGATAACGTGTAGACTTAAGCTGATTTTTCTTAATCTCAAAGACATAGTAAGAAAAGCCATGGGTAAAGTAGCAATTTAATTTGCATTTTCACATTGCTTTCCTCAATGCCACCTTGACATAAAACAGTTTTGATAGCTAATAGTCAAATTTTCTAGTCACTTCTCTATCATCCTTAGACAAATGTATTCCCTTTTCCATCTCCTTTAAGAAAGCAGATTATGAATACCTTCAGACTTCCTTAACTAGACACTTGCCATGCAAAACTATCCTGAAATATCAACACTAAGTAAGGGAGATAAAATATCCCCGTGTGTTCACTGCCTGAGTTTCTCTAAGCCCTGAACAGACAGCTTGGAACCAAGAACATGAAGCCTTAGCTAGTAGTGCCAGATCACAGCCGTTTTTAAGATGCCTGCTCTATGCTATCAATCCTTTTACCTTAGGCAACCCCCTCCAGCTGCTTAAGTGCTAACACATGCTTTACAATTACAGGGAATGAGATGGTTTGCACATTAAAATTAGATGCATAAAGAAAGTGCTTGAACACAGTAAAATGGAAAGGAGTGGAGGGTGGGGTGCAGAACACGATCTGAGCATGCCAGTACTCTCACACACTTGATTCCAAGACGTGAGTCTTCATTCAGATGTTTAGGTGCAGCCTCTGATTTCATTACAGAGGGGCAAAAATGCAAAGAATATGCATCCCTGTGAAAATGCATGTCCACTTTATAGAATTTACAGCCATGAATGATCACAGAGGCAAACATCAGAGATAGTGTTTGAAAGCCAAGTCATTTAATGGCCACTAATGACATTTGTAGCTCTTTAGGCTTCTATGGCAAGAGTAATCAGATCCCAGGCTGTAACATGATCACCTCAGCTTTTCAGAGGGATTTCCATGGCAGCCATGTTGCTGTACAGCTGCTCAGGCATGTTATTGTAATGTCAGAAGGCAAGGGTGGTGAGAAGGCCTTTCTCCAGGTCATTAGATGCTCTTTGCAACTGATAAACACAAACCAGTACAGCAGTGAAGACTGATCCATCTTAAGTAGAAAAAAAAATCAGCCATTATCTAAAAATATTTTTTTAAAAAATCCTAAAGCACTGAAAAATTAAAGAAGTGTGTATGTATACACTTCCTTTCTTTTGAACCTGAAGTCGTGAAATCAGAAGTTATCAACTCATTTGTTTAAAAACCATGGGTTAGAAAGCCATGCATTTATTTGCACAGCTAAGTGCTGGGATACACCAGAGAAAATGCAGACATTATCATTATCTCCTACATCTTGAGGAGGAAGATCTCAACCACACTTCTCTAATTAGAGGACTCCAGAGAAAGGGCTAGAGAATAAAAGGAGACCACTAGAACCTTCAAAACAGAAGAAAATGTCAAAATACAGCTGAGTCTTATTAACGGGCAAAGCAAAGAAACACATGCCACACTCATTACTCATGGGGAAAGTGAAATATTCAATATTAGGCAGGAATATTACTGATAATGTGCTAAAGACAAAAAAAAAAACCCTCCTTTACTGATGAATGAATCCAGGGTCTTTTCATGGTGATAAATAAAAATGTCACGGTTATTAGTTGGTAAAGAGAGCTCAGACAGATCTAGCTAAAGTTTGATGTACAAGGAGATTCTAAGTCCAGCACTTTTAACATCTTCACTGTTTAAAGTAAGTTAGTCCTGACATGGCCCAGGCTGGTCTACTGTAACATTTTCTTCTTGCAGATGGGAAAGAGAAGTTAAGGTGTTAAGGATATGGGGTCAGGGAACTAATACAGAAAACATCCAAGCTAGAGAGAATAACACGTGTAGGCACCTGGTACTGGGGAAAGCAATATAACTCAAGGAAGTGAAATGCCCTATACTGTCTGGATGACCAGAAGGCTGGATGGTCCAGAGACCATCCAGAGAAGAACCAAACATGAATGGCAAAAAAGCAATTAGTGAAATGATCCCTAATGGTGTTTTGCTACACTTACAGATCCATAGATCAGTGCCTTGTCCAGTAGTCATTAGAAAGTTTTCCTCCAGTAGCTGATAGGAGCAGAGGCAGAGAGACCCACAGCCAAACATTATACAAAGAGAGACAGACAGACAGACAGACAGAGAGTCTAAATTGGAGGTTTTTATTTGGTCACTCCCCTCAAAGCTAAGTGAACCCCTCAGGAAATGGAGGAGAGATTGTAGGAGTCATAGGGGATGGGGGAAAAAAGAACGTGGCACAAGGAGTCAACTAAGCAGGGCTGGTGGGTCCGCAGAGATGGAAGCAGCAATGATGGGGCCTGCTTGGTGTGTTTGTGAGACTCCTGACAGTGGGAGCAGGTGTATCTCTAGCTCTCTTGCCTACTCTTAGGTGCTTTTTCTACTGTTGAGTTGCCTTGCATAGCCTCGATAGGAGAACTTTTGCTTTGTCTTGTCTTGTTTCTTGTTTTGTCTTGTTTGGTTGTGGTCCTTTACAGGCCTGCTCTCTTCTGAAGAGGGAATGGAGGGAGAGTGGATATGGGGAAGAGGGTGGAGCAAGGGGAGATGGGAGGAATAGAGGGAGGCGAAACTGTGGTCAGGATTTATTGTATGAGAAGAATCTATTTTAATAAAGAAAAGCAAATTTTAAAAATAAATTGTGAAAAAAAAGAAAAACCAGGTTAAAACTTCAAAATTGCTCTGAGAAGTAGAAACTCCCACACAATTTTAACCCAAAGAGCAAGGGCAGTAGTTGGAAGCAATGGTTTGTTATTTGAGATGTTTACTTTAGGAGGCAATTATCCTTTCCTGGAAGAGAAATGGTGTAATTAAAACTGCATAGTTCCAATACACCTGAATGATGTCTATAATGAAGGAAAGAACAACAGGCACCAAAAGCTTAAAAGTTTAGATAATATATATACATTATTATATTTAACAACTATGGTGATTAGTTTTTGTCAGCTTGACACCAACCTCTACATATGTGGAAAAAGGAATTTCACTTGGGAAATTGCTTCCATCAGAAGGGTATCTTTATGTCTGTAGGGCATTTTCTAATTTTACTCATTATGTCACAGGAACCAGCTCACTCTGAGTGTTATCATCCCTGGGCAAGCCAATTTGGGCTGCATGAGAGAGACAGCTGAACAAGCCAGAAGCAAGTCAGTAAGCAGCATTCCTCTGTGGTTTATGAAGTTCCTGCCTCAGCTACCCTAGATGATAGACTGTAGCCTGTAAGAGAAATAAATCCTTTTCTTCCCCAGCTTGTTTTTTGTCAATGTTTTATCACAGCAACCAAAACCCAAATTAGAACAACCACTAACCCCAAATGTCCTCTGTCTTGGGTGTAGGGTATTGACTTTCATTAGGGCAATTTGTCATTTCCTAATATTTTAAGATAATGTGTCATTTCTGTTCTTTGAGCATGAGCATGAGCTGGACTAGTGACTTAATCTGATAAATACAGTGCAGCATAGAAGATGGAGGGTCACTTCCAAGAGGACAATGAGGTTAATGAGATGTCCATCTTTGTTCCTGTCTTTCCTTTACTCCATATGTCCCAATCTTTGGGTCAACAAGCTTCTATATTATGTAACAATCTTGTAAAGAGGTCTGCTAGGCAAGTGTTGGTCAACTGCAACGTGGGTATTTTTCCAAAGAGACAATCTCCCAGCTACAGGTTATGATGACTGAAGTGTATCACCCTCACATGACAATTGATGATGACCAGTCTTATGAGAAACTCTGAACCAATAAGACCTCATCCAAAATACATCAGAATGGTGATTGAATTCACTTTCTGTCACTGGAACCAAAAATATTTGTGATGAACAAGTTTATTTGGGCTTACAGTTTCATCCATGATTGTTAGACCTTGCTTTCAGGATTGAGGCAGGGAGAATATGAAGGAGGAAGCAATTAGCTTTGAGGCAAAGGAAAGCAAAAGAGAAATTAAGGAGGTTGCCAAAGTACCACAATCTTCCTCAGAAGTATATCTTCAATGATTTAATTTTCTCTCTTACTACACCTCACATATAAACATCTGTAATCTCCTAATATCACTAGAGTCTGAGGACCATGTCTTCAACATCTTTGCTTTTCAAACTAAAACCAGCCCCAACTCATAAAAATGGGGAGGTGAGAAGATTACAGTCTATCAGTGTGGACTGTTTCGTTGATTAATTACGCAGCTTTAGATGACTAATGGAGAGTTTATTGATGAAGCAACAATTAGACCTTATGTTGTATTTGTATAAGAAACTCCCATGCAACTACATTTTCACTAATTTATCTCTTTCCTTTATAAACTGAACACTTTAGTAAGTAATGTTTTTACAGCATTGTGTGTTGTGTCTGCGGTGTGTGTGTGTGGTGGCTGAATTAGATGATTTTCTTTTCAATCATATAGAGATTGAAAAGCAAAGAGAAATGATAATGATGAGAGTCTGATATTTGCTGCTATGACCATCTTCTTTGGTATATGTAACATTTCAGAAAAGTTTGAGCTCTGAAACCAAAATCAACAACTGTATTATAGATGCTATTTATAGTATCTTTCACCTCTGTGTGGTGACTGTATATTTTGACTTTCCACTATGCTATGGTTTCTTAACCATATATATATGTATATAACTTATATATGTATATAAGTTGCAGATGATTTAAAATAGAATCATCATTAAGAAATTACAAAGAAACCAGGTTGAACAAATGGATTCATACTAAGAAATTATAAATGGGTCACTCCTGATAATTACTGGATAAGTCTCAGCTTTCCTGCCTTTAAATGTATATAAATTTGTTGTTGTTGCAGCCAAGGATATATTTTTCCTTTGTAAGTTGTGTTTGTTGATTTTATTCTATTTATAAACAGTAGTAAATTATATTATATAATGATAATATTAGGAATAAACAACTTGGATATTAACTCAAAAGAACCAACTTTTAGATGCAATTCTAGTATTTATTAGTGTTATAGATCTATAAAATTTAACCATAAATTATGAAATGTACCGAATGATTATACTTTGAGCACTTAAATGGCTTTGTCATGCTTTCAACTAAAGTCTGTTTAATTTAGTTCATCCTCATAGTTTATCTTCTCATCTTTTGTCAGCCCTCTCCACTTTTCATGGTTTCTGCTCTTCCTTACCACTCATCATTATGCTGCCCCAGGGCCCACAGCCTGGCCATCTTGTCTTCTATATTTGCACTCATTCTCTTGACATTCCCAGAGAGCCCAAAATCTTTGTACAGTATCTATTCCTCAGTGACTTCCAGAGTTAATCTCAGTTCACCCTTCCTTCCTCTCCTCAGAATTATTAGTCCACCCTGCTATCCAGCATTGGCACTGGATTGGCAACAATGCTACAGCTTTGTCATCTCCAATAGACAACATCATCCTGACATGTCCAAAGCCTTGATCTTCCTCCCAAATCTATGCCAATGTAGCCTTTTGCAGCTCAACTTACCACCTTCAAAATAGTGATTCAGGCCAAAGACCTGGGCACTTTATTTTTACCTTCAAAATCCAGTAGGAGGGAAAACCCTATTTATTATTCTGACACAGACCAAACTCTAGCCAGTTCACCATGATTTATGCCTTGAGTTATTGCTACCACCGGTTTCTTTGTTTTTTGGCACATTTTGTCTTTCCTCTACTTCTTCTAAGACAGAAAGAGAAATCCATTTGGAGTGTCAATTATGCTATGTCCCTTCCCTCCACAGAAGCTAGCAACAATGTCTCCTTTTATGGAGAAAGGGAAAAGAAGTGACTACAGTAGCCTGGAAAGCCCTAGAATACACAGGCTTCCCCACCAAGTCATCTTGTACTAGCCTCATAATAGCCAGGTTTGACATCTTTTTATATGTTTGATTTTATTGTTTGTATTTATTGCATGCTATAATGTTTGGTTCATGTATTAGGCCTCCTTCACTGTTAGCACACCTTCATGGAAAATACATTTCAACTCCTTGTTCTTGTATTTGAATCCTTAATTTGATTCACCCTGCTGTTCCACAGAACACCAGAACTGATTCTTCTATCTAACTCTTACATCACTCCTATTGTTAGACATCTCTTCATCCTTTCTCACTCCTCTCTCCAGCCCCTGCTAACCATTTTACTTTCTGCTTCTGTGAGAGCAAAGTTTTAAAGTCCAGGTCTTCCAACAAGTCACTAGTTCCCCTGCCTTAAAATCTGTGTATTATATATAGCCTATGCTTGGAGCATCTTCTGAGAGCAAGCATTATAACCAGTCTTTGCATGCCTTTTAACTGTAACCAAATATTACCTTCTCATTGATCATACTGTTTTATTATGAAACTGTACTTTACAGTCTAATCACTAAATATTCTTTATTTCTTTTTTTCTGCAATGGTCAGAACTTTTTGATTATTATTAATATTTAATATTGATTTATCTATTAGTTAAACAGTGGTTATTCTTAAACCAGCTGTGTACCCAATTCACCACACAGGGACTAAGATTTATTTAATTAACCTAGAGCACAATGCTGGGCAATAATTACTCTATCCTAAACATCTACGCCTGCATAGCTTCCTACCATTCAGATTTCCAACATTATACTTGCTTTTTAGTCATATCTTGGGTCCAGTTAATATCTCCTAGTGTTTCTAGGTCCTCTCCTCTCAGATCTCTCTTCTCTGATCCTCCTCCCACTTGCCTCTCTCTTCTCCCCTCCAGACTAGGATGTCCCTTCCTATTCTCTCCATTGCTCAGCATTGGCTGGTTGTTTTATTGTCAATACAGAGAACAAATGCTGGCATGTTTATACAAACTTGAGACAGGTGATGCTTAGAATTAGCATTACAATGTGATATCCAGATCGAAACCAGATAATGGGGTAGAGAAAACAGCATTTGAATGAACAGTGGTACATTGTATACATTCTAGAAGATCATTATACCATCAAAACCTTCTAACATACATATAATATGTTTTATTTACTACATATATTTATTACATTATTTTCTCTAGTATGGAAGATCCTTGAGCACAGAAATGTTCGCTTTCTTCACTAATGCATTCATGTTCTCAGAAGGTCTTGGCATATAGTAGTTGATCAGTGAAATTTTGGTAGACTAGTAGTTTGAATAAATCCATGGGTTTTAAATGAAAGAATCTCTCTAACAGTATCTATCACAGTATCAATTTTTAACAATAAAAAATTGATTATTTATTTATTATTTGTTTGTTTATTTTTTACCATTTATTATTGTGGGTATGTGCCTTAGTCACTGTTCTATTAATGTAAGGGGACACCATGACCTAAACAACTATTACTTTTAAAAAAGCATTTAGTTGGGAGCTTGCTCATTGTTTCAGAGGTTTAGTCTATTAACAACATGTCAGGAAACATGGCAGCAGCCATGGCAGAAGTAGTTAATAGCTATATCCTGATCTGCCAGCAGCAGAAAGAGAAAGAGCTACTTGGCTTGGCATAGGTTTTTGAGGCCTCAAAGCTTATCCCCAATGCCACACTTTGGCCAACAAGGCTCCACCCACTTCCACCTATTCCAACAAAGGAACACCTCCACCTCCAATATTTATAATCTTTTCACATAGTTCCATTCCCTGGTAACTAAACATTCAAATGTATGAGCCGGGGGATGGTGGGGTCAGTCTGATTCAAAGTACCATAGTTTGTGCATTATATGTTACATGTATGGGATCATACATGTCAGAGTACACATATAGATATCAGAGGACAATGCTGGCAACTTTGTCGAGTTAGGTTTTTTTTTTTTTCAACTTTATATCGGTCTCTGGGATTTAACTCAAGTTGCCAGACTTAGCATCAAACACCTTTACCCAGTGAGCTAACTCAATGGCTCATAGTCTGGGTTTTCTGTAACATATAAATTTTTTGAAACATGGTTTCATGTAGTCTTGGCCTACTTGAAACCGCTGCCCAAGCTGAGCATGCACCACTACTGCCAACCTTATTTTCATTCTTAGCAATTACTTTTCTTAGAGTTAACTTAGTCAAGCACCAGTCACAGAAGATATTATTTTACCATGTTGATGAGCTTTCCTGTATAAAATTGATCCAAGATTCCTAAAAGTGGTTGTTTTATGACAAGAAAACTTAATTTGTCATTTGCTTGCTTTTCTAGGCGCACGTGAATGATGACAAATGCTTTGATTTATACTTCACCTGGTACACTTGTGGAATAAGTTGAGTAAGCTTTCTACCTCATGCCCAGAAGCACTTTACCCATTTGCAGGTTGT